ATGGAAGGAACATACCTCAACACAATAAAAGCCACATATGACAGACCCATAGCTAGTATCATACTGAGTAGGGAAAAACTGAAAAACCTTTCGTCTAATATCTGGAACATGTCAAGGATGTCCACTTTACCACTGTTATTCAACACAGTACTGGAAGTCTTGGCCAGAGAAATCAGACAAGAGAAAGAAATAAAGGGCATTCAAAAAGAGAAGTCAAATTATCCTTGTTTGTAGATGATATAGTCTTGTATTGGAAAAATCTAAAGACTCCACATGCACACTCATAAAAAAACTATTAGAACTGATAAATTCGGTAAAGTTGTAGGATACTAAATCAAGACACAAAAATCAGTAGCATTTCTGTATGCCAATGGTGAAGAACCTGAAAAAGAAATCAAAAAAGTAATCCCATTTACAATAGCTACAAATAAAATAAAATACTTATGAATAAACTTAACCAAAGTAAAATCTCTCTACCATGAAACCTAAAGGTTGGGGACAAGATGGCTGATTAGAAGCAACTGAAGTGTGTGGCATTCAACAAAGAAGAATGAAAGGAGCAGGTAAATACAGCACCTTCAGCTGAAGCATCCAGGTAGGTACTCACATTGGGATTGATCAGGGGACCAGCTTAACCCATGGAGAAAGGAGAAAAGCAGGACAGGGCAGCAGCCCACCCGGGAGCGACACAGAGCTAAGGGAACCTCCCTCCCTCCAGCCAAAAGAAGTGATGAGTGACTGTGCAACATTGGAAACCCCACTTCTGCCATGGATCTTTGCAACCCTTGGATCAGGACATCCCTTCGTGAACCCACCCCACCAGGGCTTTAGGTCTGATACACAGAGCTGTGTGGAGTCTCAGCAGAGCTGCTGCTCAGGCACACATAGAGACTCAAGAGCTTTACGTACTCCAGCTCCGGGATCCCCTGCAAAGGTGAGGAACTCAGCCAAGGTGGGAAGTCCATACATAGACCTAGGAAGGGGGCTAAATTCAGAGGGCCAACCAGCACTGGTTTACAGGCCCCATTTCTACGGCACCTCATAAGATGAGACAACCTGACTTGGAATTGCAGCCAGCCACCGGCAACAGCGTACTGCCTACCTGAGACAGGGTAGAGCTCCCAGACGGAGGGGTAGGCCACCATCTTTGCTGTTCTAACCTGCAGGCTTTGAAGAGTCCAGATGGACTGGACAGGAAAGGTATCCCCCAGCACAGCACAGCTGATTTACCAAAACATGGCCAGTCTGCTTCTTTAAGTGGGATCCCAATCCACTCCTCCCCACTGAGTGGGACCTCCCAACTGGAGCTTCCAGCCACGCCTGCCGGTAAGCTATGGCTGACACAGTTCTGATTTCTCCGTGGAATGGAGTGCCCCGTGGGGGGTGGGTGCACCACCTTTGCTGTTTTGGCTACTCAGCCATTCCAGCCTGCAGGTTTTAGAGAGTCCAAAACAACTGGGGCAGGGGCAGTACCCCAACAGAGCATGGCTGCTTTGCCGAGGCATGGTCAAATTGCTTCTTTAAATATGACCCCAGCCGATTCCTCCTCACTTAGCAGGACATCCTACCTGGGTCTCCAGCCACCCCTGCCCCTACAGCTGCCAGAGTTCTAATTTCTCCCTGGGACATAGTGCAAGGCTTGAAGGGATCCCCCATCACAGCACAGCTGCTCTACCAAAAAGCAAGCAGACTGCTTCTTTCTTTCTTTCCCTCCCTCCCTCCCTCCCCCTCTTTCTCTCTCTCTCCTTCTCTCCCTCTTTCTCTCTTTTCTTTCTTCTTTTTCAGGTTTCCCTCTGCCACTGAGGCTGGAGTACAGTGGCATGATCTTAACTCATTGCAGCCTCCACCTCCCCAGCTCAAGAGATTCTCCTGCCTCAGCCCTCCACGTAGCCAGGAATACAAACACATGCCACCACATCCAGCTATTTTTTTTTTTTTTTGTATTTTTAGTAGAGACATGCCTTCACCATGTGGCCCAGGCTGTCTCAAACTCCTGAGGTCAGGTGATCTGCCCACCTTGGCCTTTCAAAGTGCTGGAATTACAGGCGTGAGCCCCCATTCCCGGCCAGACTGCTTCTTTAAGTAAGTCCCTGATCCCATTCCTCCCGACTGGGTGAGATCTCCCAAGTATGGTCTCCAGCCACCTTCTACTAATGGATTTGGGCCAGCAACAGGTCTGTACTCCCCTGGGAGGGAGCTCCCAGAGCAAGGGGCAGGCTGCCATCTTTGCTGTTTTGCAGTCTTCACTAGTGATACCTGTAGGCATTGGAAAATCCAACAGGACTACAGTCTGGAGCAGACCCCCAGCAAAACTCAGCAGAAATTTAAAAAAGATCTTAAAATTTATATAGAACAAAAGACCCAGAATAGCCAAAGCTGTCCTGAGCAAAAGGAACAAAACTGGAGAAATCTTACTGCCTGATTTCAAATTATGTTACAGAGCTATAGTAACCAAAACAGCATGTAGAGGCATAAAAACAGGCACACAGGCCAGAATAGAGAATCCAGAAATAAACCTACATGTCCACAGTGAACTAATTTTTGACAAAGGTGCCAAGAACATATGTTGAGGAAAGGACAGTCTCTTCAATAAATGGTGCTGGGAAAACTAGATACTCATATGTAGAAGAATAAAACTAAGCCCCTATTTCTCACCATATACAAAAATCAAATCAAACTGGATTAAAGACTTAAATCTGAAACCTCAATCTATGAAACTACTAAAAGAAAACATTGGGGAAACTCATCAGGACATAACTGGGCAAAGCTTTCTTGAGTAATACCCCATAGTCACAGGCGACCAAAGTAAAAATGGACAAATAGGATCACATAAAGTTAAAAATCTTCTGCACAGCAAAGGAAACAATTAACAAAGAAGAAACAACCCACAGAATGGGAAAACATTTGCAAACTACCCATCTGACAAGAAACTAATAACCAGAATATAGATTACCATAGCTCTGTAGCATAATTTGAAGTCAATTAATGTGATTCCTCCAGTTTTGAACAACTTAACAGAGAAAAATGTAATGATCCAGTTAAGAATGGGCAAAAGATCTGAATAGATATTTCTCAAATGAAGGCATACTAATGGCAAACAAGTGTATGAAAAAGTGTTCAACATCACTAATCATCAGAGAAATGCACATCAAAACTACAATAAGATAGCATCTCACTTCAGTTAAAATGGCTTTTATCCAAAGGACAGAGAATAACAAATGCTGATGAGAATGTGGAGAAAAGTGAACCCCTGTAAACTATTGGTGGTAATGTAAATTAGTACAACCACTATGTAGAACAGTTTGGAGTTTCCTCACAAAAACTAAAAATGGAGCTGCTATGTGATCCAGCAGTCCCACTGCCAGCTACGTTTCCCAAATAAAGGAAATCAGGATATCAAAGAGATATCTGTACTCCCATGATTATTGCAGCAGTATTCCCAATAACCAAGATTTGGAAGCAACCTAAGTGTCCATCAGCAGACAAATGGATAAAGAAAATGCAGCACATATACACAGCAGAGTACTACTCAGCCATAAAAATGAATGAGAGCCTGTCATTTGCAGCAACATGGATGGAACTGGAGATCATTATGTTAAGTAAAATAAGCCAGTCACAGAAAGACAAACTTCACATGTTCTCACTCATTTGTGGAAACTAAAAATTTAAACAATTGCACTCATGGAGATACAGAATAGAACAATGGTTACCAGAGGCTAGGAAGGATAGTGGAGAGGGGAGAGAAAGTAGGGATGGTTAATGGGTACAAAACATATTCAAGGATACAACACAGCTGTTGCCTCGGGAATTTTCTTTTGCTATCATCCGGGGAATTTCCTTTGACTCTCCTGAGTGAGGTCCCTGTTCCTTGGACTCCATATCTTGCTCTTACTTTACTCTTTACTGAGTACATCCTCCTTTAGCTTTCTGAGAAATGATGCATAGAAGGTAAATTAGCTGGGATCTTGCCTGTCTGAAATTGTCCTTATTCTAATTTCAAACTATATTAGTTGTTAGGGTACAGATTAGAGTTTGGGAACAATTTTCTCTAAGAGCTTTGAAGACATTTCTCCATTTTTCTGCAGTTTAACTTGCTGTAAGAAGTCTGATGACATTCTGATTTTCAATCCTTTGTAAGCTTTTTAAAATAATCAGGATGTGTCTAAGGTCTACACATTCCCAGTGTTCCAAAATTTCGTGATGATGTACTCCTGCATGAGTCTACTTTAATGTGGGATGCTGAGTAGTTGGTGGGGTTCATTCAATCTGGAAATATGTCCTTTTATTCTGAAAAATATTACATTATTTATTTGGCAATTTTCCCCTCTATTTGCTCTGTTTTTCTCAGGTATTGATATTATTCAAATGATAGACATGTAGACTTTATGTTTTCTCTCTTATTTTACATCTTCTTATTGTTGTTCTACGTTTTTAAGACATTTTCTTAAACCTTTTCATAGAACATTTAAATTTTTGTTTCTTGCACCACATTTTAAAATGTCTAAGGCCTTTATTTTGTTTTTCAAATATTGCTTTTTATAACTTTTTTTGTGTGTCTCACGGATATAATATCTTTTCTTATTTCACTGATGATAAATACAGAGTTTTTTTTCTTCTACTTCCTACATGGTTTGTTTTGTTCGTGTTACCTTTTTCTTTGTTTCGGCCTGTCTGATGTTAAAAATTTTTCTGAAATCTCTTGTAATTCTTATTTTGGCTGATATTAAGAGAGAAGCCCAGCCAGGTGCAGTGGCATGCACCTGTAATCCTAGCCACTTGTGAGGCTGAAGTGGGAGGATCACTCGAGCCCAGGATCACTTGAGACTGAAGGAAACAGAGATAGTACTAGCAAGATCCTCATTTCTGAAATTAAAAACAACAACAACAACAAAAAAAAAAACAGTAACAAAAACAAGGAAAGAGAAGCCTTACAATTGTGTGTGTGAGTGAGAATAGGGTTTATTGAAGACAGGGCTTCACTGAAGAATAATTCAGTCCTGTTTCATTGAAGGACTCCCCAGCTGTCATGTTTTCTTTTGTTTTGTTTGCTGCACTTTGCTTTGCTTTGCTTTCCTCTTGGGCTGATCATTTCCTTCCTAGAAGAATCCACCAATCCCCTGCCTTTCAATATGGATGCCAGAATTCTAAAGCTGAGACATGAAAGAGATTGTTTAGAATAGAGACTTTCAGTTACTTTCCCTGTTTTTGGTATAGTACTCTTATTCTCCACTCTACCTAATGTCTAAGTCCAGAGTTCTCTGGTTTGACATCTCCAGAGAGTAAACCTCTAATTTTCTGCCAAGGTCAGAAAGAAAGTTGCCTGACTGGGGAGTGGTGCTACAGAGAGAATTTGGGAAATAAACTGTGTCCTAAGTAGACTTTAAATCAATCCTCTTGTGTTCTTCTCTACTTGTGCCCCTTACATTCTGAAGTACCTGGTGCTTTCAATTCCCAAGACTGTTTCTGGAAATCCCTGGCTTTCACCCTCATGGGCTTCTATTTCAGATTCTTCTGATCTGCAAAGTCAATTTACCACTCATGCATCAGCTTTCCAGCAGTCAAAATTATATTGTTGTTGTCCTCTTCTCTGTTCTCTCTCTCTCTGTCTCTCTTTCACTCTCTTAAATGTGTGTGTGCATGTGTGTGTGTGCACAGCCTTTACTAACATTATAGTGGAGTTTCAGGAAGGAAGAGTAGGTGAAGTATGTTTTAGTCTGCCATACTTCCATTTTGACCAGAAGTTCTTTGTTTTATATTCTATCTTAAAATCTTGTCAACATTTACTCTGTAGTAAAGTAAATAGAACTGAAGTTATGTTTTTTGCATAATTTACATGGCTGATTTTATCGACTTTGAACAAATCAGATGTTCAGTAGTAATAAAATGATTTTTCTCTTGGACACTTGATTATTATCTTGAGACTTCAGATGGGTCATGCCCTCATATCCATTCTCCTCCAATCTCAATTCAAAATTTATAGCTAAATAAACATTCTCTCCTTGGTAAGCACAATTGTTAATTGGGTGAGCTACACGTGCTTATTTTAGAAAGTTTGAAAATATGGAAAAACACAAGTAGAAAGTCAAAATGCCTAAATTCTACCTTTTTAAAAGTAATATGTAAAACTCATTCTTCTCTTATGTTTCACAAGGCTCATTCCAACTGCCTACCATAACTCTGTAAGAATTACCAACATTTATGTCTGTAGGTTTCAAAAACCTTTTATGCTTTGATTCACATATGCAAGATTACATTGCTTTCTCCCCAAACATATAGTCGTGCTATACATATAGTTATTAAACTTGCTTTGTGTTTTCACAGAATAATATATCAACATTTTCTAAGTGAATATTTGTACATACTCATTCTTTCTAATGGGTGTTGCAGTGGTTTTAAAACATATTCAGTGAGTTCATGTCCTTTGCAGGGAAATGGATGAAGCTAGAAGCCATCATTCTCAGCAAACTAACACAGGAACAGAAAACCAAACACCACATGTTCTCACTCATAAGTGGGAACTGAACAATGAGAACACATGGACACAAGGAGGGGAACATCACTCATTGGGGCCTGTTGAGGGGTGGAGGGCAAAGGAGGGAGAGCATTAGGACAAATACCCAATGAATGTGAGGTTTAAAACCTAGATGATGGGATGATAGGTGCAGCAAACCACCTTGGCACATGTATAGCTCTGTAACAAATCTGCACATTCTGCACATGTATCCCAGAACTTAAAAAGTAAAATTAAAAAACACATACACATATTCTGAAAATAAGTCTACGAATTTCTTGATGGTCCATCCTCCAAAGGGTAGAATGTAACTCCCCTCTCCTGAGTGTGAGCTGAACATAATGACTCACTTCTAATGGATAGAATGTGGCAGAAGTTATAGTGTATGACTTGAGACTAGATCATAAAAGACATTGTGGCTCAATCCTTGCTTTCTCTCCCACATCACTCACTCTTGCAGAAGCCAACTTCCTTCCCTGTCATGAGAACATTCAAGCAGACTTAAGGAAAGGCCAATATAGCAAGGAATGGAGGCTTCCTGTTAATAGCCAGTGAAGACCTGTGGCCCTTTCCAAATGCATATGTGAATGAGCCATCTTGGAAGTGGGTCCTCTGGCCTCATTCAAGCCTTCAGATGACTGTCGCCCTTACTGACATGTTGACTGTAAAGTCATGAGAGACCCTGAGACAAAACCACCCACATAAGCTGCTCCCTGATGCCTAACCCACAGAAACTGACATAATAAATGGTGTTATAAGCTGCTATGTTTTGGAGTAATTTGTTACAAAGCAGTAAATAACTAATACGGATTTGATACTCCAAAATAGGTGCTGTCATAATAAATACATAAAACTGTGGAAATGGCTTTGGAAACAGATGTGGGCAAAAGCTGTAAAGGCTTTAAGGGAGAATTTTAGAAAAAGGCTAACGAAACAGTTAATAGAAGCCTGATGGCCATAGGAAAGCTAAGGGTAGAAACTTAAAGAAAAGTAAGAAAAAGCTTATCGGAACCTGAAGAAAAAGTATGCATGGGATGTGTTTTCACACTATCACCCGTGGTAATGTGGAAAGTAGACAATGTACCTAACGTACTGAGTGATCTACCTAAGGAGACAGCCAGGCAAAGTGCTGAAGATTTTCCCTAGTTTCTTCTTAATACTTAATGTGAGAGAAAGAAGATAAACTAAAAGAAGAATTGCTAAATGTGAGAAGCCATAATGCTTTTGAAAATCTCCAGCCTCTCTAGATGGCAAACACGCCTAAAATAAAGTCATGGCTTCCCAGCAAAAATCAAATTCAGGGCACTGATAGGAAATATGGTCTAGAGATGAAGATGAGGGTGTGACTGTAAAATACTTTGTTTACAACATCAGAAAGATGTAAGATGGTGCCTGAGAACCATTCAGTGAAACAACAGAGCTTTAAATAGGCTTAAGGGTATTGTCCTTCCACAGTTCAGCAGAAGCCCAAAGTAGAGAAGAACTTTCCTTGAAAATATTTTGGGGTATGACTTTTGTCTAATGAAGTGAGCTTGAATAAGGTTCACAGGAGATTCAGAAAGTTTCTTAAAAAAATGATATTGACAGAAATACCATCAGCTTAGACTGAAGGGAACAGAGATAATACACAATGAAAAGAGGCATTTGAAATTCCAAAGTTTTCCTGAGAAAACTGCACAGCTCCGAAACACACTACCTCTCAAGGGAAAGGAAAGATCAATCAGAGGAGGAAACCAATAACCCACAGGGTACAGCCAAGAGACATGGAGAACCATTCCTAAGAATTTCCTTGAGTTAGAATCAAAAAACACTGAACATGTGCCTGGCTGGATTTCAGAACTGCTATGGACCCGTGATTGCTTTAGGCTTCCCATTTTCCCACTATTTGAACAGGATTGTCTAGTTATCCTATGTATGTTGGATGAGTATGTGGGTAACTTGCCTCTTTAACCCACAAGGCTTGAGATAAAAGGAACTGTACTGAAGGAGCTGCACTTAAGAAAAAATGCTAGAGAAGCTGGTTTCACATTTAGGTCAGATTCAGATGACAAATTTCTAGACTTTCAGCTGATGTTGCAAAAGATTAAGATGTGGCACTAGGAGTTGGTATGGAAGAGGGTGAATATATTTTCCATGTATAAAGAATGTATATAATTTGTAGCCAGACAACAAAGCGGAATAGTTTCAAATTATGTCCACAGATTATTCAACACTCCTCCCTCCAAAAACTGAAGCCTAATTTGCCACCTCTTGAGCTTAGGCTGAATTTGGGGATTCTGTGCTAATTAACACAAGATTGTAGAAATGATACTGTGTGATTTCTGAGATTAGGTCATAAAAGATACTGCAGCTTTATTTTTTTTTAATCAGCTTTTAACTAGAAATAAAAATTGTATATATTTACCATGTACAACATGTTTTTTAAATGTGTATATATTGTAGAATGACTGAATTAAGCTAATTAACATATGCATTGCTTCACATACTTATCATTTTTTGTGTGTGGTGTCAGCATCTATCTTTCTCTCTCTTACATGACTTTCTCTGCGAGAAATCAGTTGCCATGGCATAAGTGTGCTCAATTAGCCTTATGGAGAGGTTCATGTGATAAGGGACTGAGGTCCTCTACCAACAGACATGTGAGTGTAAACATAGAAATACAGTATTCTGTTGCACTCCTCCTTCCCTTTTATGTGATTATAAACAACACTGCAGCAAACCTCTCTGTCTCTCATCTCTCTCTCTCTCTCTCTCTCTCTCTCTCTCTCTCTCTCTCTCTCTCTCTCTCTCTCTTTCTCTCTCTCTCTCTCCGCCCCGCCTTCTCTATCTCTCTAGAGAGGGAATTGCTGGGTATGCACATTTTAAATTTAGATAAATATTTTCAAATCACTCAAATATTGCCAAAAATAATTGTAATAATTTACACACGTCCAAACAATGGATGAGAATATGCTTACATCTTTTCCAATTTTAAATGTTAGTAGTCTAATTTTTCTAAATCCCATGAAAGTATCTTAGAATTTTGTTAATTTATATTATTTAATTATTGATGACAGTGAACATCTTTTTGTATTTTTGTCATTTGTAAAAAGTACTATAATTATTTAGATGCAATTCTTTTGCATGCTCCTAACTCTTGACCTTTCTTACTCCACAATGCCCAGCATATAGTTCATGTTACATAAATATGCAGTTTTGAATAAATGAATGAATGAATAAATAATATTCAGACATGCAGAAAGTCTTCACTTAACCCCATAGTTTTGACTTTTAACTGGGAAAAAAATACTTTAGCAATTAATTAATTTGTCTTTTCACTTCCCCTTTAACACTATTCAATATATACCATTCCGAGTGTCTTCTGAGTAAGCTCTTTATCATTACACTTTGTTCTGGCTAATTTGTTTCTAAAAGTAGCCATATACTTTTTCTCCCTGGATATTTTTTAAAACAACAGAATAGTTATATGACAAATAATGGTAACAGTAGCAATAACATGCTACATGGTAGGTGTGTTATATACACAACAGACCTAATTTAATATTTACTACAGTCCTATAAGGATTGCTATTCCCCACTATAGAAATGAGGGAACTAATTTTTGATGATGGCAAATAAATTAGCCATAGTCATTTAGCT